AACCTACAATAAGTCAGTGCAATTGTAGGGAGGGGGGAGGGGGCGTTGTCTCAGTCCAAATAAGATTAAATTTCATCCCACAGTGGAGTAATATAATACTTTGTCTCAGTCAAAAGAAAACCTTTCTATAGCCATAACTTAACAACTACCAAAATGCCAGAGTATGCTGTATGACCAGCACCATCCATCCATCCATCCATCCATCTTTCAAATTTGTCACCATCCATCTCACTACAGAGTGACTCTAGGTATATTTGCCAGTCCTCTCCCCCATGTACCCCACTCATGCAAAAGCCATGAGGCATATCCCCTGCAACCATTATGGGGAAGGGCTGCCCCCATTTTTCCTGCACCAGATAGTGCCCCCTTAGTCATGTCAACAAACCAATCTATCTATTCCTTCTCTCTTTTTCTCTCTGGTACAAAGGAGGCGAATGAATCCTATTGAGGGACCTTCTGTATACTATCAACTGGAAACAGGGCTCTAATGAAGAAAGTGAAGAAAATGGATGCTAGTCCAGGTTGAATCAGCCACCATTTTATCACCTTTACATCCTATTGAGGTCATTCTGCCCCTTCTAGAGATAAAATTGGTGTAGATAAATGTTACATAAAATGTTTCCCAAGTCACTTCTGAAGATCTGTCACAGTTTATTCTTTGCCACAAGACATTGTGAAGACCACTAGTTTGGATGTCTTTGAAAGGGGATTAGATAAATTCATGGAGTACAGAACTATGAGGGATTTTCTAAGTACCATATGTCATGATAGAACTATTTTCTGCTGAAGTTTACATTAATGGTGTGTCTCTGGAAACAGATAGAATCTTTTAAATTCTAGGGATGGAGGACTTAGGAATTTTTGGTGGATATAGCTGTGGTTCTCTAATTACTTACTGAAATATGGAGGCAGCTTGATTTCTTCTAAGCATCTTCTTCCCACTGAATAGAATCCTTCCAGGTTCTGATTTATGCTGAAATCATGAAGGAGATTGGGTTTAGGTTTAATGTACAATTTTTCTTCTCAATCCATTTGTATCATGTGGCCTAATTCTTCTTTTACTATTTAACACTAGGTGTTTCTTTCTTCATCTCTCTCTCCATTTATATTTTGTAAAGTTTGCTAATTGTAGTAAATTGTCTTTTAGGTTTTCCTTAGGAGATGCTCGCAGGCCCCTACATGAATCTGCAGTATTGGTTGAAGACATTGTCCACACTCAACTGATCAATTTGGTAAGGTTTGTTGTTGTTGTTGTTGTTAAACAAATGAAAAGAGAAAGTCAACAGTTTCAGTGAGAGTTCTATATGTAACAGTGAGATCAGTATGATGAGATTTAGCCCATTTCATTAATATTACTAACCAATCAGGATAGGGAATCTTCACTTGCTGCATTCCAGAATACAGAAGTAAGGCTGTCAAATATTACTCAAGCTGGATGCTATGAGTCTGTGCAATACCTTTTGCCTTGCTGCGTCAAGAAATCTACATAACAACTATCATACCCAAGGGTTTTTTGAGAAATTAACATGAACACAATATATACCATCTTTCAGTGTTCGGAGACAAAGTACATGGGAAATGATGAGTGGATACATTTTTATCTAATAATTAAAAATAAATAAAATTATGTCATGTTTGCATGCTCTAAATTTGAACATTCAAGATATACTATGCATTCTTAAGTACGGCTGCCATTGTGGTTTGGTGCGTAACCTGTATTTAGCCTTAGGGGATATTTTAAGTACTATAAAATAGTACTTTAAAAATATTTTGCATTTTTGCCCACTGCTTGTAGTTTATAAATACTAATGAAGTTAAATATTTTTATTTGTGTACAAATGATTTGAGCTGTAATTGTATGTTGCTCTTAGATTTGTTTAAAACGGCTTGTGTGCTAAATTCATTATCAGAAATTAAGTAGTGCCAGGTAGCATGTGGCAAATACTGCTTAACCACTTTTAGAAAGTTATTTGCAGCTGTCACTTCTTGCCAGTAGGGCATCATGAAAAGTCCTTGTTTTATGTGATTGTTTTAAAAAGTAATAAAGCTTCCTGTGAGGACCTTAATTAAAGGGGTTATCAAAATAGGAAAAATGCATATAATTTGTGATTGGATAAAATAAATGAAGTAGCTGTCCCATTGGGATCTAATGAATCACAGGGTGGAAACAATCTTCTTGATAGCTAAACATTCAAGCTTAGTAGAAAGTTGTGGGGTGTATACATAACTCGGCAAACCAGAAGATACATTGGGTTTATATGAACAGATAAAGAAGGTCACAAGAACCATCTGGGTAAAATCTCTTATTCCTAATGTCTGGTTTGGAATTAGATCCACAGAGTTATCACGCACCTGTCTTGGTACAATAGTACAGAGGTTTGGAGGCACAGAAATCGAATCAAAAGCCATTTTTTTATTTGACAGAATATCAGAGCACTAGGAAGTAGCATTAATTGTTATGTTGCTCTTTGACATAACAATGCAAGAAATAAGAATTCTATAAAATGTTTGCTTTATAGCTATCAAATAACTTTTTTAAAAGCTCTATACATTTCAAATATTTTAAATGTTCCTTGTAAAGCTTGTTATTATGAGTAGAGATGGGAAAATATGTTTTCCTAATTATCTCCTGTCCCAGAAGGCAATTTCAAAATACAACATCAATTCTGTTTAATACTGAATACATTCTATTGTTTAATTGTATTATGAAGCACAAATATTTTGTTGAATTGTAATTTTACATGTTTTACTTTGTTCTTTGATTTACCAGTGTTTAGGTATGACAAGTGAGCATTTGATACTTGCAGTTCAAATATGATGTTTTCTGCATTCCCACAAAAGTTTAGAAAACAAAATTTAGAAGTGTTGATATAGCTTTTTCCTGAAGATAACAGTTTATAATTTATAGCAGCTAACTAAAAACCCCATTGCTTTCCATCTCCAAAATCAACAATTTCAAAGTTATTTGATAGGTTCACAGCTAAATCTTTAGTAGATAGAAATTGCCTCTGATTCCAAAATGCATGAGGCAACTCTGTAGATTGGATACTCCCAATTCCAGCTCCCCTCCGTGTTCCCAATATGAGCTCCAGAGGGCTGAGAGATCCTCTGAAACAGTTTGACAGATGAACCTGCTTAGTATTCTAAAAAAACTAATAAAATCTAATGAAAAAATAAAGTCTGGGTTTTATTTTTGGGACAGCTACTCTAATTTCTTGTTACAAGTTTATTATAGATCAGAATTCACACTTCGTAGCAAGAACTATAGAAACTACTGGCTTTGCTCTTGTTTTGTCCAGGCAAAGAGGGAATGAGTCCTGACATTCTGACATTTTGTTTGGGTACAAGCAAAACCAGCTTTGTGAGCATGCTTTGTGTGGGCAAGACACCCAAAACTGTGACCTTCTCTTTCAAGTTGTGACTCCTAAGGGATTATGACCCCAAGTTTGAAAACTCCTGTAGCATGGGAACATCCATCCATCCATCCATCCATCCATCCATCCATCCATCCATCCAGACTACTCCCTGATGCTGTGATAAAGTTGCATTGGAGTTCTCATCAAAGAACTGAAACTGTCTGCCTTTGGGGCTGAGAATGGTGTAAAGAGATAAAACTGGTGCATTTGCAGAAACTTGGTACATTTGTTTTACTCTTTGTGTTGCCGGTAAATGAAACAATGATCTGGGGACACAAAAATGGGATTATGGGATGCCAGGTGCTCACCTCTGCCCTGTGCAGGAGAATAGAAATACCGCAGGAGAATAAACCCATCATAAAAACGATGAAAATCAGAAGTTGCTGTGCTGTTTTAAAATTAATTCACGAGTTTCTTGGCTTTTCTCAGCCCAAGTAGCATTTAAAAAAAACAAAAAAAACAAGTGGAATTGAAACATTCTTTCATCTCTTGTATTAAAGGTCACCACTGAAAGTTTAAGATTCAAGGTGTTACCTATTTTTATGTATTGCTTTAAATGCATGTTTTATTTTACCAAAAAAAATGAGAATTTTAAAAAATCCAGCTAAGTTGTAGTTGCATAAAGCAACTATTTTTAAAAACTTGCCATCTTTAGTCTGAGCTAAACTTCTGCCAGAATGCAGTCCTTGGGCTGAGAAATCAGTTACATTTAAAGTAACATCAATGTTTCTGTTTTTTTCAATAAACGATAATTCCAGATGGACCGTTTTGCATAGTCAAGCGTATTCCAACCACATATGGCTGTAGCAGTCCTGTGTCAGTCCAAATAAATTAATCTGATCAGTAGCCATTACACTTTCCAAATTACCAACTATAATACTCAAATCCTATGCCAGATATTAAGGTACTTTTATAGAGTTACAGTTGGTATGGTCAGCTGCCATCTGAATGCATCCTTGACAAGTATTGATGGAATAAATTAATGCCTAATGTTATAAGGTATTTTGACATATTTTAACAACCACTTCAGTGGCATTTAATGGAGAGAAATCATTGCGGCTTCTAATACTTAACTTATCTGATTTCAAGTGAACCTGATGGTTTGGGAATCAGTTTTCTAAGGAAGGTTGGCTTGTTAACAGTATTATGCAGTTACAAGTAAATGTGGTCACAGCTGGTTCTGGTTTTTTAGCTTATCCACCTGATTGGAAGCAACAGGTTTTTTTTATTTTTTTTCCCCATTTCTTACACTGACACCTAGTGTTCACTGTTTCTGTGCATTCTAATACTTACAGCCCAATCATTTACCTACTCTTATCGTCTACTCAGAAGTAAACCAGTGTAAACAGGTATGGGAATGTAATCCTTTTATGCTATTAATGAGTTGCTGGCAAGGCAATACCTTCCTTAAAACTTTACTATCACAAATTATCATTAATTGCTGCTTTGCTGGTCTACATTGCATTCCTGTTAGCAATAAGAATACAGCAATGAATAATAGTTCCTATGCAGATATAAAAATGGGGGTTCAGAAGTAAGTCAAGTGATATAATCAGAGTAACTGGAGGTTAGGCAAGAAGCAGTAAACACAATTTCTCTCTCTCTCTCTCTCTCTCTCTCTCTCTCTCTCTCTCTCACTTTTATTAATAATTTTCATTGTAATAGTAAAATCTAATATAAACTTAAAGTAAGAAAAGAAAATACCAAGAGGGAATAAAAAGTGCAAGGAAAAAGAAAAATGAGAAGAAAGAGGAAAGTATGAATATAATAAAGAGAAAACAAATATATAAAGAAGTGACTTTCAACCTTCATCACAAGTG